TTGCAGCGCGCACTCTCTCGCGCTCTCTCTCGCTCTCTCTCTCGCTCTCTCTCTCTCTCTCTCTCTCTCTCTCTCTCTCTCTCTCTCTCCTCCCACCCTAAGACTCTGAATTATAAGGATAGTTGGAGGAGAGACGTATTCAACCAAGGCATTTTGCCCTGTGAGGATCTTTCGCTCTGTTGCACTTGCACTAGACGAGACCACGTTAATAAGCATCTGTAATTGCGTGTCATGGATTGTCATATCGTAAGTACAGACCGCTTTTACCACTGTTTTGTTTTTTGATGTTGAAAGTATAGAATTAATGTATTCCGTTCAATTTAATCCGTTTGATAATAAATGGAAACATGCTTTAACTTTTTCTTTACTTGTTTAGCACCGAGAAAAGCTGGACTTGTTTGCAAATACTTGTTTTTGTATTTCGAAACTTTATGTCGGGGGTAAATTCCATGTCCAGTAAAATTAGGAACTGTCTTCAGATGTATATTTTGTGCTCATCATCAGTTTTATGCTTTAGCTATAGGGTTCAAAGGATCACCATTTATTTGTCTGTATTATTCATATTAATAGTATTACTAGGATTATTAAAATAATCTACAAACTGTAAATAGCCTAGTAGAAAATTAAAAACTAAAATTTTTAATAAATAAGGTAGACTCTTGGTGGCGCTAACAGCAAATATATATATATATTTATATATATACATATACACACAGAGATACACACACACACACACACATATATATATATATATATATATATACAGTATATATATATATATATATATATATATATATATATATATATATATATATACACACACACTTTATTTATTAAACAATATGTTGATTAATAGCTCAAGTTACAACAACTTGATTAAAAGTCAAGAATGTAGGGCGTGGCTATAATCCCTGAATGGATTAAGGAATTGTAAGGAATTTTGGTAAATGCATGTAGATTTTTACTTTTGTATTCCATGTTTGGTCCTAGCTGGGTATATGATGACATTTGTATATTTAAGAAGTCGGTCAGCTTTCAGAGGCCAATTGCCACAAATGTTTTTGGGTCTGAAGAAGCGTGCAAAGTCAGGGTTCCCACGCGTCCTGGAAAACTTGGAAAATTGATGACTAATTTTCCAGTACTGCAAAATCTTGTTGTTGTCCTGGAAAATGATTATTTAAAAAACATAATTGCGTTTTCCTTTAGCCAAGAACAAACAGTTGAATTAGGGATGGAGGTTTATAAAAATGTATCTCTGAGGGGAACTGACTGTTTATAGAAAAGTTTAGATGATATTTTGTTTTCATCTTGCCTTTGTATTATGCATACTAAAGTAGTGTTTATAAGTGCAGCGCTACTTTGTTTACAGCGGTAACCATGGAAATGCTCTATCGCTGCTGTTCCATAAGCGCCACCTGCTGTCAGAGAGTGAATCTGCGTCTCATTCAGCCCGTCTGCTGTTTTTGTTTCCTGCAGATATGTTTTATGCAGTATAATTTCACAAAGCTGAAGTCAGAACATTCTGTTTTTGCTTCAGATTTCGAAATTACATCTAATTTAATCTAAATTAAATCAGAAACTGCTCATGTATGTAACATCTTTATTATTAAAATGCAGTGTTTGCCTCTAATTTTAAATGGCTACAGAGAGTTCAGCCTGTACAGAACAAAAAAACATCTTGTTCATATATTCATACTTTCTATCTTATATCTTGCTTTAAAAAATTAAATAAAAATGAAATCAGTACTGGAGTTGGCCATGAAAAATCAAGATTGGTGCATCACTACTGACTTTTGACACTGTGAACACTGATGTGATATTAAATGCTTCTGTGCATATTTATAGGCCTATCGCTTTCTGTGAAGTGCTATGTAATGGCCAATCAGAGGTGATTAAGTTAGTCAGAATCCACTCATTTTTCACTTGACCCTACTAAAGCAATACTTGATTGAAAAACATTTGAAGGATACATGCCAATATTTTAAAATATTATTTTCTTTAATATTATATATAAGCATTAATAATTAACTAATTTAATTTATTTTGTATTTTCAAATAGTTAAATAAAACTTTCAATATTTTAATTTTTTGTAATTTTTGCTATGGTACTGAAACTGGTTCTGAAAATCATTTGTTGTAATGTATAACTAAGAGCTCATGTTACAGAGCTGATTTTATAGTTAAGTCATGGCCATAAACTGTATGTTTTTAAAGAATTATAGAGAGAGGAATATATTACTTTAGGGCATGATCCTTGTCTTTTATTCCTGCCGTAAATAAATAAAAAATGTCCTGGAAAAGTCCTCAAAGTCCTGGAAAATGATCACTGAAAAAGAGTGGGAGCCCTGAAAGTGTATTATTATGGTGATACACATATATAAAATAAATCTAGTTTTTGTCCATGAATTGGTCTTAAATGTCAGTAAATATACAACAGCTATCATTTTAAAATATGAACAAATATGTGAGCTTATGGGCTAAAAAGATCCTTGTGCTGGGACCCCAAAAATTTCTGCTTGCTGTTTGTCACGCATATGCAAAAGGATTGGGCAGCAAATGTATAATTTCAATGGACTAGTAGACATGGGAAAAGCTTATGACTGCGCAGTTTCATTAGAGGTGATCCATGGGTAAGCATGCACTAAGCCTCAGAGGCAGCAGTAAAATGAACACATGCTTATTTATAGGGCGATTGTGGAACGCCTCTGCCTGTGGCCACATATGAGCATGTTGGCAAAATGCTTGGTTAATATGAAAAGAGGCTGATTCTTGGTTTAAAAGTGGGTGGACACGCTCCTACCAGGGTTTTACAATGGACTTCTGCTCATCACCCTCACAAGCTGTTTAAAGACTGCCAACCAGCCTCTGTCGAGCCATTATACATATGCTAAGTTGTTGTGGTGGGAGAAAGCATGTGGTTTCACAGCTTCAAGAAGACTTAATGAGACAAATAACATCCCATCCCACCACACACACTGCATGATGATGTGTGCTGACATGCTTCACAGAGCACAGGAAGCTGGTCAGAGTTGGTCTTTGTAGCATCTGGGTGGTTATGTAGTTGAAATCATTGTGTCTATGTATCAGTTCATTTTATTTTCATTAGGTTCAGGTAATAGGTTTCTTACACTCTTAAAAATAAATGTACCTAATGGTTCCTTGAAGAACTTTTAACATCCATGGAACCTTTCCATTTCACAAAAGGTTCTTTATAGTGGAAAAAAAGGCTCTTCACACTAAGAAAAATTGGTTCTTTTTAGAACCGTTCACTGAAAGGTTCTTTTGGGAACCCAAAATGGTTCTTCTATGACAGGGGTGTCCAAACTGCGGCCCGTGGATGAATTTTAAGCGGCTCGCAGCTGTCTTAAATAGTCTATATATTATATATGGCCCGACAAGCATAATTTACAAAATAGGCCTATGCAGTTTTAAAATGTCAACACAAGATGGCAGCACTAAATTTTAGACCAATGTAGCAGTAAAACGCGAGTGATAATAATTTGATAACTCATATGCGCTCTAATTTCTTTAGCGCACGCGAATTCCTAAAAGCAGAAGAGCGCGACTCGTTTGAACCGCGCTGAACGGACCGTTTTTTAGCTCTGCCTAAAGACAGCACAGAGCGAGCTCAGAACAAATGCGTTTACTCGCTGACTGATCTCGATCACGAGACCTCAGCGCTGTGAGAAGCGTTTGAGTTTGGAGCAGAGGTTTCCATACAAACCACAGATGTCAAAGGCAGATGAAACAGCGCTGACATTCTCAACAACACTAACGCGGAAAATAGGAGAAACATTGTGCGACAACAATGCAGTAAGAATACTTTTCAATCCACAAATCACCAACATTTTGATTTACCGTAGTTACAGTAACTGTGGTATTGTGGCAGAAATGTTGCATATTTATACAGAATCTTCTTATATTATTAATGTAGACATATAGGCCAATTTAATGTAATGTAAGGGAGTTATGAAATATAGTCCAAATTACAGACATTTTTGATATTTAGCAGTTTGTGCTTTCATGTGTTAATAGACTAAAAACCATAAAGCCATTCTATGTTATAATTATTAAAGCTTTAAAAACAAGATATTTACAGATATTTGTCCTCAACAAAACACAAGCTACTGCTACGGTCAACTCAACATCATACATACATACATAATATATATATATAGAGGGCCGTCCTTAGCTGACGCGGGGCCCGGTGCGAGGTAGTTCGCGGGCCCCAGTGCGACTGCACCATTTGCACCCCCCTAAGGACAGCCCTGTATATATATATACATAGGATATAGGTAGGTAGAATCATCCGGCCCCCCAGTGTTTCCACATCGTCGAATCCGGCCCCCTTTAGGAAACTCATGGCCCCTGTTCTATGGCATTGCTGCAAAAGTCCCTTTTGGGACCTTTATTTTTAAAGGGGTCATATGATGCGATTTCAATTTTTCCTTTCTCTTTGAGTGTTACAAGCTCGTGGTGCATAAAGAAGATCTGTAAAGTTGCAAAGACTAAAGTCTCAAATCCAAATAGATATTCTTTATAAAAGTTAAGAGTCAACCACGCCTACCTAAAACAGCTCGTTCTGACACGCCCCCACGTGTCAATGTCACAATGTGGGAAGATTTGCATAACGCCGCCCAAATATTCACGCAAAGAAAGAAGGCATAACTTTTATTCTCGCTGTAGTATTGTTGTTGCCGCCGCCGCCATGTCGTGAAAGCGCTGTGTGTTTCATTGTGTTTGTTTAGTCTTCCAAAAGAGGACGATATCCACTTCGTCATGCCTCGTCGAATCCGCCGGCCACACCGTTCTCAAGCCCGCTGCCTCTGCTCACTCAAGCCGGCCTCCGCTCACTCTAGGCCGCGGGTCACTATAGGCCTCCGGCCTCTGCTCACTGTAGGCCGCTGTGCTTGACGCTGTTTCGTTGTGAAAGCAAAACTACTTTGTTTGGCCTTCCAAAAGAGGACACGACTAGAAATCAGTGGTTAAGTTGTATTTACAACACTGTTCCAGAACAGTTTAACCCAAATATTCAGATGTGTCCAGCGCATTTTATGGAGGACTGTTTCCTGATCCTGGTAGAGTAGACTACAATGCCGGCTGTTCTGACTCACAGACTGTAAGTACATTCGGAGCTTTGTAAAAATCAACGCGTTTCAGAAAGGCGGGGCATAGAGGAGAAACAATAATGTACAGTATGTGGAAAATAATGTGTTTTTTGAACCTTAAACCGCATAAACACATTTCATTACACCAAATACACAAAATAATGTTATTTTTAGCAGCATCGTATGACCCTTTTAAGAGTGTTATGGAGAAGAGGAGCTTTCCATTCACTTGGAAAGACTTTGTTTCTGTGGAGCTGATGGGTAATGATTCATTGCAAGGGGCTTAAACAGGCAGGAGATACGTCATGCTAAGCCCACTATGGTGGTATATAAGATCTTAGAGGATAGTCTGAATCATTCTAAGCAAGAGTGAAATCAATATGAAGTACACCCAATGTCTGTTTTGCTAAATTTATCTTTCATCATTTAGGAGGAATGCAACCAGCCACAAGAGGAAGAGGACATCATGGACATCCCATTGGATGACCCAGAGGCCAATAAGGCGGCTGCCAAGATCCAGGCTGGCTTTCGTGGTCATATGACCCGGAAGAAGATGAAACCCGGTGAAAAGCCCAATGAGGAGGTGAGCAGCAGTGGTGAGGCCCTCAACGGCAGCCAGGGGGACTCAGGTCAGTCACTGTCCCCAACAGTCATAGTTAATACAAGAGCTAGACTCAAAACCCATCCCACGTGCCAGCTATTTTGAACCTTCAGTTTGGCAAGACATTTAAAAACCCTCACATATCCTCACAGAATTTGGCTTCGAGATCTGAAGTAAGCAACCAGAGCTTTTAACTTTAATGAGAGTTCAAGAGCATGTTGATTCGCCTTTTTTTCTGTACTGTGTACCAAAGATTTTGAATAAAAAAGCAGGAAATATTGTGCCCATTATAGTAGATTAGCCACGAAAGAACTCCATCAAATCCAAAATGAAATAAAATGAAAAATCCATCAATTACGTTTAATGAGTCATGTCTTTAGACTGAGTAAACATAATAAGACATGCTCAAGGGTGCTTTTTAATTACTCTCTGAGTGCTTTGGATAATTATTTTCTTAATTAAGTAATTATTAATGAGCACATCTATCATTTTCCCTGACTGTTAAAAGATTGCAGTCATATGAAAAGGCCATTCAACGATTTACACAACGGAGTCCACAGAGTCACTCTGTAGTCTCTAATATCTCAGTTTGTTGAAACAGATCTCTCAAATCTAATTTCTTTTGTGGGTGGTTTAAGCCTCCACAATTCCAGGACTCAATATTAAAGTCTGTCGCAGATTTATCCCCCCTTTCAATTTTCTTTCTGGTGATGTGTTTTGTTCTGCACAATATTGCCTCGTTTTCTAGAGATACTGGATAAACTGTTTCCCCCAGCTCAGTATGTATGCAGATGGTTCTCGAGCAGTTGATCCCCGGAGATTCTACTTTGAAGCAACAAATAGGCCAGCGGTGACGGAAAGACCATAACGTTAATGTTCTTACACCAAAGCTTCCATTTGAACTACCTTTATTGGTGTCATCCTTTGAGGATGAGCAGATCTAGTCATTTGATGCAGAAAGTGGGGCAAGCAATGAGAATAAAGGTGTCCTTCCAACCTCCAGCCCGGGCCCAAATATCTCTCCTTCAGCTGTGCTGCTCTACTCTACCCCACCTCTGTGCCGAATTTAGGCCTTTCCCAAGCAACATCAACCCAGTTCTCAGTTGCTAAGCATTTTATGTGTATGGAAGTGTTATTTTTATCCTCAGGTGCATCTGCATCGCTGAAATGAGGCTGTGCTCTGTTTTACGCAGACAAAAATATAAGACAATCTAAGATCAATTCATATTCTGGCAAAATCAATCAATAAGTAATGCTCTGTTGCATTCAGTATATTTTGTGAAGAGTGCCAATGTAGCTATCACGCACTGCAAAACACAATTTTCTTACTCATTATTTTTTATCTTGTTCCAGTACAAATATCTAAATCAAGGGCTTAAGTCTTGTTTTATGAGAAAAAAAAAGTATTCAAATTAAGTGAGTTTATGCCTTAAACAGTGTGCTTTTAGTGTAATTTATATATTATTATATTTTTGTTGATATTTTGATTTAGATTCTATTTCTTATATTTTCTGTTTATTATTTAAATGTATTTAAAATGGTAGTAAATGTTTGTGTTTATATATATATATATATATATATCTATTGGGTAACACTTTACAATAAGGTTCATTAGTTAACTACATTAGTTAACATGAACTAATAATGAACTGCACTTATACAGCGTTTATTAATCTTTGTTAATGTTAATTTCAACATTTACTAACACATTATTAAAATCTTGTTAACATTAGTTAATGCACTGTGAACTAACATGAACATCTGTATTTTTATTAACTAACGTTAGTGAAGATTAGTAAATACAGTAACAAATGTATTGCTCATGGTTAGTTCATGTTAGTTTATACATTAACTAATGTTTAACTAATGAACCTTATTGTAAAGTGTTACCATATACTGTATGTCTATGTAGTTTTTATTAAGTTTGAGTTTTTTGTGTATTAGTACTTAACAAGAATTAACTTTTAAAATATTATTTCAGTTAATGTTTCTTTTATTTCAAGTAATACAAAAGTTTTTATAGTTTTATATAGTTTTCCCTTAGAATTGAGTATATTTTTTCATAACCCATTGACAGATATTTTTTCTTCCTATTCTTTCAGATATTTTTAAAGTTTTAGATATTTGTACTGGAAAACAAAACAAAAATAATAAGCAAGAAAATATTTTTTTTGCGGTGGGTGCTGTCACATCATCGCCTTGTCACTTCATAGTCGACTAGACAGCTGTTTGTTGCCAAATCTAAAAATCGTGTGCATTTTGCAAGCAGGGGGAACAGACGGAGTAGAGACAGACGCCACATCTGGACCAGAGCAATGAAGACCCTTCTCAAGGTTGACAGCTTATAGGACGCTTTCTCCAGGGAATTTTTTTTTGTGTGTGTGTCCAAAAAAGTAGTAAAATTAGGCTGGATATGTCAACTGATGTGTGAACTCTTTCTCTATTTTCTGCTTCTTATCCAGTCCGGGTGAATATCTGCTCCAGCATGCTTTTGCATCCCACAAAAGGCATCTGTATTCTGTATATCTGATATTTGTATAAATCGAAGAACAGATGGCATAGAATTTAACACAGGCTTCTTCAGTCAGACAGTGAAGTAGACTTAAAATAATGCATCATGATTAAGTTTTCTCATTTCTTGTTGCTTGATAGTCCTTTCCTGTGGTAGTATGTTTATCATTGCCTTGATTTGACCCACTATCACAGTAAGATGTGAAATATGTTTATCATTCATGAAAAAGAATGTTATCAGTTGTTTATAATTGTGTTGACTGATTTTTTTGGTTTGCTTCCTGTAATATGTAATATGTTGAAAATGAAATCAGAGCTTCCAATGCAGCATATGGCATGGCAAGATTGACTATAATTTTTTTTCTTTCTTTTTAATTTGTAAAATTATGATTCTAAGTCTTTTAAGGTAGTGCATATCATTAGAAATATAGAAATTGAATTGTGAAAGCTTAATGATGATAGCAAAGATCACCTTGCATGTTGACATCAGCATCAAGCTCTGTATCAAAAGCAAATAAAAACTCAGAAATGTGTGTTGCCTGAATTTAAAATGATTTTATGCAGTCAGGGGGTGCTCATTAGTCGTTTAAAGTCCTTATAGAAAGAGTTCAAAAACAAACAGGCAGTTATATATATGCAGCAGAAATTGAAATATTAATCTACACATCAGTTTCATTAGTGCTTCTCACTGGAGGGCTCACAGCTGGAAGGCTGTGCTGATGAGACCTGGACAGTCATTTATCAAGGTCAAATTGCCACATGCCATACTCACTATTGCCTGTCAAAGCAGCATTTAGGCCTATAATAGCATTAACTGTTATTGAATCTGTTCTGGTGTGTAGTTTTTCTGATAAATGTGCATGCGGCAGAGCTATAATTAAATAAATCTTATAGAAATATTTTTGAGAACATAATTTATTATTATATAATTATATATTCTATGTCTAACAAGTAAACAAAAAAAGGTATGTGAGGTTTTTGTAATTATTCTCAGCCATCCCAACATGCATGTTTTAATAAAAAAATTGTTTAAAAAAAATTCCAGACAAATATGTTGTTAGGCCAAATATAAATAAATACAAATAAGTCAATACTGGAGCTTTAAAATGGAAGCTCCAGTATCATAAAACTAGTAAAAATGATTCAGTGTTGGAATGAATCAGAATCATTGAATACCGAATTTGGTCCATTTCAAACCCAAAGCTATCATACGACTCATGCACTATATTTATTTAAGTCTTCTGATGTTGTATGATAGCATTTGGTGAGAAATGGACCACTGACTCGTTATCCACTGATTGATTATTTGCTCATTCATTATTCATTGATTTGGACCTTCATTGAAGTCAGTGAGAACCAGATCTGTCTGTGCTGTAAAGAATCATTCATACAGTACCTATTTTGTAAACCAATCACTTCAATTTCAGAGTGTTTCTCACACAAAACTGTGGAATGACTTCAGAAGACTTGAAATATAGTGCACGAGTTGTATGGACCATTTTTATGATACTTTTATGGTGCTTTTGTGTCCTTTTTGGAGCTTGAAATCTCCAGTATCCATTGATTGTAAGTGGAAAAATATATGCTTTTGTGTTCCACAGAACTAACTCATAGAGGTTTGAAATGACATGAGGGCGAGTAAATGACAAAATTAGCATTTTTAGGTTAACTATCTCTTTAAGAATGAGATGTTCAAGAACATCAAAAATGAATCTATTTCCCCATGACAATATTAATCACTCAGCCATTACATTAAGAGCTACACTTAATTAGACCATGTACTGCAGTTCCTAATTAAAGTCATACGGCACTCAGTTAATCTTGTTTTTCACTTGCGTCTCAGCTGACATACTGTGGACGTTTATTACACAATGAATCACATTCCCCAGGTTAAACAAACGGGAGTGACTTCATAAGTCCTGCTTTGAAGATTTTAATATTTCACAGTGACTGATTATATTTGATGTTTTGTGGCCTAACTTTATGAAGTTGATTTCCTCAAATCTAGTGGCTTTCTATCCATTTTTGAACTGACTTTTAACATTTCTAAACTTGGATAGGCAGGAGGAAAAACTGGACAAGATGTCCTCTGCACAGCAACAAAGACCTGCCATAATTGTCATTTTGTGTGTGCGTGTGGCTCAACTTGTCTTCTTTCCCGGGTGTGAAATGAGCGGTTGGAAGTCAGTCGCCCACATTCCCTCCTCCGCACGCAGGCCTCAGCTTTAGGGGGCTCCAATGTAACCTCCCCAGAATGAAGTCTGTCACTGGCTCCATGACTTACAGTCTTCTAACAGCATTTTTACAGGTTGCCTATGGCAACACAAAGTGCCATAAGACAGTTCTCTCTCAGACTGCTGTGTGTCCCATGATTCCTGCCCTCTACAGACTGTTGCTGACAACGCAGTACTGCCGACCTGACAGCTGGCATACGCCAAAAAAACACTCAGCTAACTTGCACAACACAGACACATTATGTATTGTGAGCCTGTAAATGATTGGATTACACTTGAAAATGTGTATTTCTGTTTTGCATCACACAGAATATAATCACTTAGCATTATGCAGGCTGCTACATCTGTAGAATCTCATAGCATCTTAGTCATGGATTGATGCTGAAACAACTCTCCACATCTGAAATATCTGTCTTAATCTCAATACTCTTTGAACTGTTCAGTTTGCTTGCTTAATTGGCTCTTATGTATTTCACAATAGCATTACATCAAAACCTCCAGCAGAGGGAGCCTGTATATAACAAGTTTAGCTCTCGCAAACACATTCATGAAGCTATTGAGTTTATTTTATGTGCATTTTTAAAAATGTGCTCTTTTTTTCCCCAAAGAATATAAATGTTTTCTCCCCCTCCATGTGCATATAAAATAATAAATAAAACTAAAATAACATTATTAGGCCTCATTATTAAATGAGAAACTTCAACTTAAAAAACTTAGGTAGGTAAATGAAATACAATAGGTTTGGGATGACGTGTTAAAATGACAAAAAATAACAATTGAAATAAAAATATTAATTGGATTTTACAGAAGTATAAAAAATTACACAAATTAAAAATGTAATAAAATTACTCAATTTAAAATGAAAATAGAATAAAAGCTAATTATGAATAATAATTATAAATAATATAATAAAAGTATAAAAACAATACAATTATAAATCATAAATAATTATTAAATATTAAATACTAGAATAGTAATGAAATAATTACATTTACAAATTCAAAATACAATTATACATTATATTTACAATCACAAACAATTATTCTTAAACAGGAAATGATTGTTAAAGAGTTAGTTAGAAAAGTCTTGTGAATACACTCCACACAAAATGTAGTGTATTCAGCTTTGTCTGATGAAATATATGAACATTTTAATAATTATTGCTGGAAAAACTATAAAGCCCCTAAAGGGACATGGTGATAAGGTAAAATTGAGATTTGAGGAAAAATTATATTTGAATGCTTTTGTGTTTTCTTGCAAAATCAGCTTTCCTGAGAGTGTAACGCAGGAGAACTTTTTTTTAACATATTAAATAAAAAAAAATTTCTCACAAAATGTTCTGGTGTCTCATAAAGTCCAGTGCAATATAGCTTCAATAAGATATTCTCCAGTGGAGACGTGTGTGAGGATCTTTCATGCTTTCAGTGCACTATGAACTTGATGTTCCCACTGACTCTACTTGACAGATTTCTTCACAAGATGAGAGAGTCCGGATGGACTTTTATCCTCCAGAGGACAAAGGCTAATGCCAAGCTTTGTGTGAGTATGTTTGTGTCTCAGAGCCCTACTAAAGCTTTGATCAGCCAGAACAGAGGAGACCCTTGAGGATAACAGACTGTATGTTCTGTGAAAAGCTTTTTCTTTCTGACATTCTTTGCCATTTTGCATACATCATCTACTCTTTTTACTGAGTGGGAGAGCAAGATTTCAAAGTCTGATATGGTACAATTACAAAGTCTGGATCATCAAAGTCTGTCCTAATTTGCTGTATTGGGTTGGCATATATTTTCAGAAATGCCATCTGTTGTTTTTATTTAATTATTTTCACTGTGTACTAAACAATTAGCTGTGTTTGCTACTAGCATCATATTGCTCATAATTAGCATTAAAAGAATAGTTCACCCAAAAATGAAAATGTACTCGCCCTCAGGCCATCCGAGATGTAGATGAGTTTGTTTATTCATCAGAAAAGATTAGGAGAAATTTAGCATTACATCACTTGCTTACCAGTGGATCATCTGCAGTGAATGGGTGCCGTCAGAATTACTGTTCAAACAGCTGATTAAAACATCCCAATAATCCACAAGACAATTAACGTCTTGTGAAGCAAAAAGCTGTGTGTTTATAAGGAACAAATCCATTATTAAACCTTTTTTAACTTCAAACTGTTGCTTCCAGCTAAAGATCCATAATATTGCTTTCTCCAGTGAAAAAGTTGCCTCGTCTGAATCAGGAGAGAAATGTGCACAGATCAAGCACCATGTGTCGGTGGTTTTAATGTGAGAGGACAACTGGGGATGGACTTTGCCACTGGAGGAAACGGCATTATGGATTATGGATTTTGGCCAAAAGATTTAAAGTTAAAATGCCTTAATGACGGATTTGTTTCGTACAAACAGCTTTTTGCTTTACAAGACGTTAACTTATGGACTGAGTTGTGTGGATTACTTGTGGGTTATTGTGATGTTTTTATCAGCTGCATTTATATTTTCTTAAGAAAAAGAATGTTTTTTTCTATGCTCAAAATGAGGATTTGCTTCTGCCTGTGGGGGTGTGAGAAAATGCCCAGTCAGATGACCACAGCATCAGCTGACCGCTGCAGGACAATGACATCAACTTCTAGACAGACATGTGATGGCTAGGCCACAATTCCTGGCACATTTATTTCATTTTCAGCAATGGAAATAACCTGCTGTTACAACTTCAAACTGAAAACTTCAAACTAACTCAAATAAATAAATATAAGTAAATAAAATGAATTGTTGTTCAAATATATCTTGTAATAAAATAATAAATTAATTAATGCTAAAGAATGAATATTGGAATATAATATAACATTTTATTATTAAAAAAAATCGTATTATTTTTATTATTAAAAAATGAATTTGAAGGTGGCCATCTACAGTATAACCATCGTGAAGTGAATCTATAGGAATTATTTGAAACAAAGTCATCCAGCTCTTGTGCACAAAGGCCTTTCGCTGAAGACTGATGCCTTAGCAACCTGTAGGTCCTCTTTTCATCCATTATGGCCTGGTGGGGCAAAGATATACGGGGCTTACAATGTGCTCATGTGGGAGGGCCTGGTTAATGGGTGGTGGAGTAGAAAAAGCAGTTGTCCTTGAGTAGTTGTATAGTAGCTTCAAAAAGATCTCCTTTCATTCAAATTGTATGCTACATACTTCAAGTGTCAGAATCAGTCCTACTTGAACCCTTCGACTGATTTGCCTGATTGACTTAATGGCTGCTACTAAATAAATGTCTATGCTACATTATTTACCTATGAATTTTCACAATCTGATCATAGCTGAGGCAAACTGTCACATGATGGTTACACTGTATACTGTGTATATATATATATATATATATATATA